GCAAGTGCTGGTGCTGAGAGTTCTGTCTGCCTCCAAAGCTGTGAGGATAGATGGAAACACTCCCCAAAGCTATGGTAACGAGAAGACTAATCCATGATTTTAAAACCCAAATGCTTTAAAAAGGACAGCTCTGATCTGAGTCATTCACCTGTATGAAAACTGCATTCCATTCAACACGTTTCCATGTACTAAGCTTTATTTCTAATTATGGCATAAAAGGCCTTTTCCTATGTTTACATTTTCCAAAGCATCTGAGAGGAGGCAGAGAGGACCATTGTGGGGAAGAGGTCTCCCCTGTAATATGAAGTGTTACTGCATTACCGTGTGTGTAGTCACTTCCTGACCGAATACCCCGCCAAGGCTGGGGCTGTCTTACAATTTATGGTCCAGAACATCCCGCATCCTCACTGTGATTGTGCCTTCAATTGATGTTTCTGACCTTTCTAGAAACTACAATACATGTTCAGTAAGGAACAATACCCAGTCTCCCCAAAGGAGATGCGGATAAAGCCAAATTAAGGGTTTGCTATCTCTGCCCTGGGATGCCCCTTAGGGGCGAGCACTTTCTCTGCCCCGTACCCACTGCCCTCGGATGCCCCGCTTGGGGATGGGCACTTACATCAGCTCTCCGGACTTCAGCAAGCAGATTTCCGCATCCTGCCCTAGGGCCAGGTCTTCGGTGTCCTCGGGGGTTAGTGAGTTTGATGTGGTGTCCCTGAAATGTCACGAGAGTACAGTCATTTAGCTCTGAGCACACAGGGGCCCACAACCTGAGGCCCACAGCTGGAGTCATGTAGCCAATATCAGACCCCATGGAAACCCTTCAATCCGGAAGTCGTGAGACAGGCCCGCATAGCCTGTGGGCAGAGGGCACCGGTGGGAGAGGACAACAGGGCTGCGTGATCTCCCTAACGTCTTCCCTGCAGGTGAGGGGACGGGATGACCATACACACATGGACCACCCCCCATCCCACACCAGCTGAGTTACGGAGAGCGGCTCTGGCCTCTCGGCTTCCTTTGACAGCCTGGATATTGTGCCTGCTCGCCTCCAGAGCTCCCACTGCCTGGCCTGGCTCCTGTGTGCCTCTTGCTGGAGTGCTGAGGCTGCGACGTGGGGATGTGCTCTCGGGGTGCAACTACGTGGGGTGGTGAGGGCTGGCACTGGGATCACCGGACACCCGCAAGCACCCACGTGCCCGGCTGGGGCTGACTCTGCATAGCTCACATCAGCCCATGCCAAGCGGGACAGTCAGCGCCCCAATGGAGCCCACTGTGGCTCAGAGAGCAGAGAGGTAGCTCGGGGTGGGGGTGTTGGGCACCACTTCAAGGTGGTTACAGTCTTGGCTTTGCGACTAACGGCGTGACTCTGGCTAAGCCCTTTCCACGCCGAGACTTGCGTTTTCTCTTCTCCCAATTTGAGGAGATGGAACCAGATGCATTCCAGACTCTGCTGGCTTGGAAAAGCTGTACATTTCCAAGGAGAAGGTGCATTAGTGTGCTTGGCCTTCTCTGCTCTCCCTGGGGAAGGGGCAGCAAAAACCTGCCCCCAAGTGCTTACTAAGTGCCCGCTGCCATCCAGGCGAGCCCTGCCATTCGCCATTCCGTTTCCCCCGGGGCCTGCCCCACCTCCGACCTCCTCTCTTCTTGTTGCTCTTCTAACCATGGCTTCCAGATCCCCCACCTCTGACCCAGGAACCAACAGAATCACAGAATGTCCCTCAGGAAGCAGCTCAAGAGCCAGGGGTCCAGGGGAGAAGAGATGGGCCCAGGCCACGCAGGCCGGCCTCATTGCATTTGCTTTTACCCTCATCCAAAGTGGAAACACTGTAAACGAGAAAGAGCTGTAACATATGATGAAACAAACTCTGAAAACTGCAGCTGGTTCTCTCCATCTTTCTACATTTAGGACAAAAGATGTCCTTACCCACTGTCCCCTCTCTGACCATCATGACGACAGACAACCCCCAGCAACCCACAAGGAGATGATTCCCAGAGTAGGTGCCTCAGACCCTCGCCGGTCCTGCCTGAGGCCCTGAGAGAGGGAGCTGAGAGGCGGGGAGGGGCGGGGAGGGGAGTAGGCCTGGGTGGGCGATGAAGTCGGGAAGGTAGTGAGTGGTTTTCAATGGATTTTCAAACTGTGGGTCACGACCCACAGAGTAGCTTATGAATGAGCTGTGGCCAACAGTAGGAAAACGGGCTGGAAATGGCCACTGTATGTGGGGAGGGTTCAGTATTGCTTCCTGAGGCTCTTGTTCTGATTTGAAGTGTACACATGTCCACACCAAGGAGCCAGGTAACATGTGCTCTCACTGTGGCATGTGCTACAACAGCGGTCGGTAAACTCATTAGTCAACAGAGCCAAATATCAACAGGACAACAATTGAAATTTCTTTTGAGAGCCAAATTTTTTAAACTTGAACTTTTTCTAATGCCACTTCTTCAAAATAGACTCGGCCAGGCCGTGGCATTTTGTGGAAGAGCCACACTCAAGGGGCCAAAGAGCCGCATGTGGCTCGAGAACCGCAGTTTGCCCACATGGTGCTAGAATATGTCCAAGGCTTAAAAAAATGTGAGAATGACAGTGAACAAAAGCAAAGCCACTAGGGGGCAGCCTATCTCCTCCCAGACCCATTTCCTTCTGTTGTCATTGATGCGCTTTTCTAAGAAAAGAAGTGAGGCAAACCCACTGCCCACAAGTGACCTTCCTCCTCCCAGCTCCAGCCGGGGGAGCTCAATGCTAGCCACGGCAGCCTCATGGGGAAGATGGCACGTCACACTTCCCCGAGCCCACGGCCAGTCCAGCTGACCCTGTCTTCAGGCACAAGCACCTACGCCAACGTGCTCCGCGCCCTGAGGGTGCTCTTCTCGGCTTCCCTGGGCACCTGCCCTGCACACAGCCTGTGCTCAGTAAGTGTCAGGTTAGGTGCCTCAGGCTAAGGCAGTTTTCTGTCTCAAATGCCCCCAAGGGAGGGCATGACTAGGCTCCAATTTACTTGTTTTAAAATATATTTTTTATTAATTTCAGAGAGGAAGGGAGGGGGAGATAGAAACATCAATGATGAGAATCACTGATCGGCTGCCTCCTGCACGCCCCACACTGGGGAGCAAGCCTGCAACTTGGGTATGTGCCTTGACTGGGAATAGAACTGTGACCTCCTGGTTCACAGGTCAACGCTTAACCACTGAGCCACGCAAGCTGGGCAAGGCTCCAATTAGAACTAAGGAAGAAGAAAGTGGTGATCACAGACCAAGTAGATGCTGAGAAGTCCCTGGGAATGCAGTGCAGGGGTTCATGCCGGCCTGGAGGAGGGATCCCGGGTGGGGTCCTCCAGCTTGGTTCCTGCAGCTGCGATCTCTATGATTTTCCTCCCACAGATCAAAATGCCTTGGCCTCTCTTTTACTGAATTGCTGTGTGTCAACTCTGCAGGCTGCTGGACAGCAGACTGCCCGCTCGCTCGGGTTGGCTGGGCAGGAAAGGGTGCCTGCAAGGCCCCGATGGCCCAAGTCTGGCTGACCATCTTCCTCAGAGGCTCCATCTACGGCTCTGCCTGGCCGAGCCCAGCACAGCTAGGATGGTGCTCTGACGATGAGAGTCCTGCAGTCCCTCAGGGCAGCCGGCATCTGTGAGCAGGGCCCTGTGAGTGGTAGAGGCCTCTGGTCTACAATTGCACTGTGCAATGGATAGCCACTAGCTATGGCTATGGCAACTCAGATTCACCAAGATATTTTAAAGCCACAAAATGTGACTCTTTAGTTGCACTTGCCCCACACCAAGTGCTCAGCAGCCACATGGGCTAGTGGCCACTGAGTGGGGCAGCACGGGTCCAGGAAGTGCCCGTCACTGCAGGAGACTCTAGTCAACAGCCGGGTCTGTGAGGTTGGGGTGAGTCATTCTGTGGATCGGGGAATCCTTTTATTTTACGATTAAAGTAAATTCTTAGTAGTTGTTCTTTTAGTCACTGATTTCCTTTTGCCCCAAAACCAAGCAAACACTTCTGGTATTTTGACTTCTGATTACTTGGTAACTATGGTCTGACACAACAGGCAAACCTGCAGGCCCATTCTCACAACCAACACCTGGGGGCGCCGCTGAGTAAGCCACACTCAACTGGCAGCTCTTAGGTTAGGATCTTTTTACTTACCCCCCACAGCCCTGTCACCCACCAAAGTCTTGCAGGCAACCTCTTCTGCTGGCAGCTGTAATGGCCTTAGCTGGGCCCTGACAGCCTAACCTGAGTTCTGGAGTGTCGGGTGCAGAGGAAGTGCAGGCAGATCAGCGCACTCTGACCTCCACGATAAGTGTGCGGCAGGCGGCTGCCGTGCCCCTTGGGTTCTCCCGTCCTCGTTTAGAAAATGTTGCCGTGTTCCAGGGGAAAGCCAAGGCGTATGACTGGCTACCTCCCCTTAAGCAGCTTAGTTTTGTTTCCAAGAAAAGGAATGCCCTTGAAACGAGGGACACTGCAAATGGGCAGAGGCACTTTGTGGAGGGCAGCAGGTCGAGACCTGCTTTGCTCCACGGAGTACAAGTGATTACTAAGCGAGAAGCGCGCGGCCGAGTGTGTGTGAGACAAGGCTCAGATACTTCACACTCTGGTTCTTGAACTCGTCCTAAATGATGGCTGGCTTATCCCATGTCAGGCCCACGTTCACCTAGAAGCCATCTGGTTCATTGGCCTGGCAGTGACAGAGCTGGGTTTGTAGCCTGGAAATGCCAGTTGCTAGCTGTGTGCACATGAGGCTAATTCAACTCTGGCCCTGGGCACTCTCATTTACAAAATAGTGACACCAATTCTGCAGGGCTGAGAACCCGTGGCTATCACGCGTGAGCTGCATGCATACACAGAACGAGACCAGAGCATGCACTCTGCATTGGTCCAGACCCAAACTATTCCAAAGAGATGCGTGACTAGCGAATGAAAGAATTTTAAGATTCGAATGCCTTTGGTTTAGAAATAAAAGCCCTCTCAGGTCCCAGCGGGCGAGTTGGTCGCCAGCCTGGGGGCAGAGGGGTCTCAGTAGCGGAGCCACAGCTTCCTATCTTTGACCCTAAATTACATAGGTGCAGACTGGTCATGTGGATTCTGATCCGCTAGATGGGTTGGGCCTCTTCCAATCAGCAACCGAGGCTTCTTCAAAACTACTCAGCGGAAACATGGACCACATCACAGAGAGGCAGAGGCAAGCCTGCTGCGGGGCACAGCTCATCTCTGGAACAAACTGAAAAGGCATCTTGGTGGGTGAGTCATTTGCCTTCCTCTCTATAGGTAGAAGCCAGGGCTCCGATTCCTGCCTGGAGCAGCCGCCCTGCAATGCCCAGGCTTTAGCTGCTCCAGCTTCCGATCCCATCTCTGCTGCTTGCTGCCGAGGGTTAGAGAAATAACCGATGGGTCCTGGGCACTGGAGGTGCTTGGAAGCGAATGGTCCTGGGGAGCCACGGCGGAGTCAGGCCCTCCCGGGAGATGAGGAGACTCACTGTCTATGCTTGTTCACTGAATAGCTTTTGTGTCATTTCTTTTGCATTTAATAAGCCAGGCTCCTATCTCGGAATATGGCTTACCACTATCCAACTTTTGGAAAACATAAGGTAAATAGGTCACCCCTAATTGCACCGGCCGGAGTGAACTGCTGTTAAAATCTGGTCATTTTTCTATTTTAAAAAAATACAGTCAAAACCCTGTGGCTTATCGTGGATTCTTAGACCAGGGCGGTCGGGTAGGTGGCAGAGTGTCAAAGGGCTCACGGACCCTGCGAGTGCCAGTGTGTGTACATGTTTCTGAGGAAATGGACTGCGGCCTTGACGAGATGCTCAAAGGGGTTTCTGATCAAAGGTTAAGAACCAGGCTCAGTGCTATATCCCTGTCCCCTATTCACTGCAATAGTAACAACCAGTACTAAGTGCTTATACCTTCTGAGCAATTCAAATGTGTTACCATTTGAAAAATATTAAAAGCATTTCCTATACATTAGTTATTCTATTTTGTCTAAATTATAATTAGCTACTTTTTTATTATTATTAGACATTTATACCATTTCCAAAGTTGCATATATTACATTTTTATTTTCAGAAATAAATACAGGACTTTGGTTAGGGAAGTAAATGGTTTTCACATTTCTAGAAAGTAATTAAAAAAAAAATGGTTTAATGATATCAGAGAGGGAATTAGAAACATCAACGACGAGAGAGCATCCCTGGTTGGCTGCATCAACAGGGGATTGAGGGTGCAACCGAGGCAGGTGCCGTGACCGGGAATCAAACCATGCCCTCCTGGTTCATGGGTCAATGCTCCTCCAACGCTCCTGCGGCCAGGCGAGGAGCGAGGAGCAGGGACTTTTTATTGCGGAGCCTCATCTGAAGGCAAGGCCTTTCCTTGCAACGAAGGGCGCTTTGTTCCCAGGAAAGACTGAGGGGACGGCACCAGGGCTGATGGCACTTCCAGTCAGAAAAGTCTTCGAGGAGATCAGAGAGGAAAGATGGTGCCTCCCTGTACATACCCTTGTCTAGCTGATTCAAGTATTTTTTTTGCCGGTGGATATTTTGACTTTGCTAATCCAAATACCTGACTCCTTCCAACTATGAAATTGCAATAAAGAATACCTGTGTTTTGGTTTAAAAAACAATCACACACACACACACACACCCCCCAAAAAAACCCTCTTCTTGAGGTACTGGCAACATATAGCAGCACTGAGTCCTTGGAAATGAGTCACTGTGTGTGGAGAAGCTGCAGGCCAGTGGCCTGGCACTCCAAACTCAATGCTGCTGCAGGCAGGTGCCGTGCCCACGCCACGGGTCACGTCACCTCTGTTATGTCCTGCCTGGGTCCTCAGCAGCGTCACAGGGCAAAGAGAAGGGTCAAAGGGAAGTGTGGGCCTCGAAGAGCTCTAGGCAAAAGGGCAGCTGTCTGGGCTTAGCTACAAGCCCCCTGCAAGGCCTGCCACCGGCCTCTGGCCACCCTCCCAGCTGGCCTTCCGTTTGTTACAGGAGACCCCTCAGCCTAAACTGCTAGTCATAAAAGCGAAAGCCGTGTTCTCTTCCGGGGAAACTACCTCTGAAGAGATGCCTGAAGGTCAAGATCTCTTCAGGAGATGAGGCTCTGACGGGGCACGGTCACTGGGACCGGTGATCAAGGGGACAGATGAGGCTGGGCAGTGAGAACTCCCCAGGCCCTGTCAGGGGCCAGCTCAGCCAAAGTGCTGGGCATTCATGTGCTTTTCTTTGCCTTGTTTTTCTATCGGTCGTCCTTTAAAATCTATGTGGTTGGGAGGGAAAGGCAGGAGGGACGGGCCATCCCCCATACACCTTCTGGGGAATACGTGCTTTGGCTTTCACCAGTAATTGAGGGGCCCAATGTTAACAGCGGGTGGGCGGGCACGTGCTGTGAGGCCAGGGCAGGCGCAGCAGGCCCTGAAGGGCACCGGCCCCATGTCACCACGGGTGCCCTGTGAGGCCGAAGCGAGCACGGCTCTTCTGGGATGCGCAGGACCTCCCGGGCAGGTGAGTCCTGAGAACTGTAAGGCTCATGAAGAATTCCCCGTCCCACTCGTGTACTAGACTGTGCAGGCCGGAGCTGAGCGAGGGGACAGTGGGAAGACGGGTGGGTGGACCCTCAGCCCAAACATGATTCCTGGGTTTTGACTCGCAGGTGTTGGTCAGACCAGACACTATGGAGGACCAAGACTACTTTGAAAACTACATGTCCAACACATCCACCGCCAGCAAGCAAAAGCACGATGACTTCCTGGAGTTCAAGAATCTCTTTCTGCCCTGCATGTACGTGGCCGTGTTCCTCTGTGGCCTGGTGGGGAACTCACTGGTGCTGGTCATCTACATCTTCTACCAGAAGCTGAAGAGCCTAACGGACATGTTCCTGGTGAACCTGCCCCTGGCAGACCTGGTGTTTGTGTGCACCCTGCCCTTCTGGGCCTACGCGGGCACGCACGAATGGGTCTTCGGCAAGGGGCTGTGCCGGATCCTGCTGGGCATCTACACCTTCAACTTCTACACGTCCATGCTCATCCTCGTCTGCATCACCGTGGACCGCTTCATGGCGGTGGTCCGGGCCACGAAGGCCTATAACCAGAAGGCGAAGCGGATGAGCTGGGGCAAGGCCATCTGCGGGTCCGTCTGGGTGGTCTCCCTGCTGTTTTCCTTGCCGCAGATCATCTACGGCGATGTCAGCAAGCGAGACAAGTGGGTCTGCGGTTACCAAGAGAAGATTTCCACTGTGGTTCTCGCCACCCAGCTGACTCTGGGGTTCTTCCTGCCACTGGTCAACATGATTGTCTGCTACTCCGTCATCATCAAGACCCTGCTTCATGCCCGAGGCTTCCAGAACCACAAGTCTCTCAAGATCATCTTCCTGGTGGTGGCCGTGTTCCTGCTGACCCAGACGCCTTTCACCCTGGTGAAGCTCGTGGGCAGCACCAGCTGGGTGTACCAAACCAGGACCAGCTACCAGTGTGCCCTCGCTGTGACCGAGGCCATTGCCTACCTGCGGGCCTGCCTCAACCCTGTGCTCTATGCTTTCGTTGGCCTGAAGTTTCGGAAGAACTTCTGGAAACTTGTGAAAGACATTAGCTGCCTCCCTTACGTGGGAGCCTCGAGCCAGCTCAAGTCTTCGGAGGACACTTCCAAGACGTGCTCGGCCTCCCAGCAAGCGGAGGGCACCAGCATGTTCCAGCTGTAGGCCTCGGGGCTCAGAGAAGCTGCCCAGGGGCTCCAGCAGCACGGAATGCATGTCCTCGGGCGGCGGCGGCGGGGAAGGCTTTGTGTATAGCTTGTGCATTTTCGCAGCGAAGCGACCACACGCTGCAGCTGGTGTGCAGTGCTTCTTCTCAGGCAGGAACACATTTGTTTTCTCCTTGAACACCCAGGCCTACAGCTCACAGGGGGAGCTAAAAGCTGTGAGAGTTTCCTTCCTCCATCTCCGAGAATTCTGACACCCGGGGGAATGGCGTGTCTAAACACCCCAGCTTCTCCTTTACTGAGACTGAGACTGAAGGCTGAAGAGGTACCATGACCACAGAGCTGACAGCAGGTGGCGTTGAGCTCCCAAGTTCAGGAGATTCTTCTGGTTTCTGGGAGGCAGGGATGAGAGCAGCCACCAGAACAAGTGCTGACCCTTTTCCTTTGGGCTCAAGCTTCAATCTCCAGGCACCTCACCCAGGAGGACAGGTTCCGCCTCACTTTTGATTTAACTTTGAAGCTCTTGTTCTGTGATTAATCCTGGAAGGACTAGCAGCAGGGAATATGAACAGGCCAAAACAATCTAGTCAGCTGAGAATCCCAGAGGTCCACAGAATGCTAGAAAACTGTGTATAGCTGAGTGTAAGATCGCCGTGAATCTACGAAATGTTCTGAAATGGAGTCTATGTTGGGTCTGCTCATTTTAAAACTGAATTATCTGCCTGGCCGATATGGTTCAATGGTTAAGCATTTCCCATGAACCAGGAGTCTCGGTTCAATTCCAGGTTGGGGCATATGTCCGGGTTATGGGTGTGGCCCCCCAGTAGAGGGTGTGCAGGAGGCAGTCAGTCAATGACTCTATCTCATCATTGATGTTTCCACCTCTTTCCCCCTCTCGCTTCCTCTCTGAAATCAATAAAAAAAAATGTAAAAAACCAACAACACAATTATCCTATGCCTTTCACACATATGTATGCACAAATTCTTTATGTATATGAAATTATTTCTCTTCCACACATATGTCAAACAGCATATGATTTTCATGACTAAGAAATAAAACTTTTAAAAGTCTCCAGACTACTTTTACCCCTTGAGCACTTTCTACTTTAATATGGCATGCCGGGTATATATCTAGAGCTTATTTGTGGGCCCAAGGCACAGGAAAGAAGTTAGGCTCGCAAACTCGCAGGGCACTGCTCTACCGAGGAAGTGGAATATACCAGAGAAAACCACCCAGTGCCTTCGCTGTGGTTTCCAATCTCCTGCCCACCATGTGAGGTGTATTTGTTTAACCTCCATAGTGTGGTCACAGAATGAGGCAGAGTTTTAAATGTCAGACACTGCGTGTCTGATCCTACCTATCTGCTCATTAGGTTAAAGTTGCCTCTTGGTTCATGAGTCACAAGTCACTCACTGAAAAAGGAGGGCAACTGACACCAGCAGTTCTGCAGGCAGAATTATGGGCTGACCAGTGTGGTTTTGAGGTTTAGATGGACCAGAGGTGAATCCAGCTCTGACCCTCACTAGCTGGTAATCTCTTCACCTCTCTTGTTTTGGTGAGACATGGACTGTACCACGGCTGACCTCCTGGGCTGGCGTGTGGACTGGAGGCCATGCAAACAGAGCACTGGGCACAGTGCGCATTCGTGGGCAGGAAGGCTTCTTGTCCCGAGAACTAGCAATACTACTGAACTGCAAGGAGGGATGAAACACAGCCATGTGCGACAGCATGGGTGGATCCTGAGAGTCGCGTGCTAAGCAAAACCAATCAGATGGGAAAGGGCAAGAATCATGTTCTCACTCATTGTGGAGGGAATAACACAAAAGGCAGCAAATGAACAAACAAAAGAAACAAATAGAAAGTTCATTGACACAGACAACAGTATGGTGGTTATCAGAGGGAAGAGTGTGGGGGGAGGTTAAAGAGGGTTGGGGGGGTCAAATACATGACAGGGAAGGGTAGATATAGAGTGGTGAGCACACAATACAATATACAGATGATGTATACTTGAAACCTATATAATCTCATTAACAATGTCACCCCGATAAATTAAAAAAACAAAAACTAGCAACACAGAATGGAAGCCGCTGTGTTGCTAGGTTCAGGAGGGTTTACTTTGCACCTTCAGAGGGGCGTGGCATGCCACATGCCACCAGCTGGCACAGGGCCCATGTGACCCCACCTGCTGGTTCATAACCGTGATGGGAAAGCAGGGCCCAGGGTCACTCAAAGCCCGGCTCAGTGGCAGCCCCACCTCTGTGTGTCCTTGGGAAAGCCCCTCAGGCCCCCAGACCCACATCACCACCCACACCCCTGGCTAGTAACAGGGAGGCCTGGACAGTGGGCTCCGAGGGCCAAGCTGGGGGCTGCCTGGCCACAGCAACACAAGGGTCACTGTTGGGACCAGTGGCTTCTCCCTGACCAGGCACCGCCAGCCCGTACCCCACCCCTGGGCCTTCCACAGCTCAGCAAACCCAGGAATCGCACAGCAGCTGAAACCTTCTCCTTCCGGCCTCACACTCACAGGTCCTACACTCTCTGGGCCCTTACCTGAGACACCTGGGAGTAGGAATGACTTTCCACCTCCGCCCTGGGTACACGCCACTCATTACTGGCCACAGATCCTGGCCCCGCCCACGTACACCTCAGGGCTTTTGCGTCTTTTTATTTTTTTAAATATATTTTTTTATTGATTTTTTTACAGAGAGGAAGGGAGAGGAGAGAGAGAACTAGAAACATCAATGAGAGAGAGACATCGACCAGCTGCCTCCTGCACACCCCACACCAGGGATGTGCCCGCAACCAATGTACATGCCCTCGAACCTGGGACCTTTTAGTCCGCAGACCGACGCTCTATTCACTGAGCCAAACTGGTTTTGGCAGCTTTTGCATCTTGATTTCATTCCCTCCACACAACAGCCCAGAAGTCCCACCCTCAGAACTGCTCTTCTCCCCACGGCCCCCATATTCTCACACACATCAGCACGTCATATAAAAGGGCGCCTGGGGAGGAGAGGTTGGTGAAGGGGCAGAGGGAGGATGGGGAGCAGGAGGCAGGCTGGGTGTGGGCACTCTGCCTGGGTGTGGCCTCAGGGTCTGAAGGTAAGGAAAGTGCTCCTTGCCAACCACGTTTGCAACACTTGGTAGAGACCACAGATGGCCGCTCTGTCCCCTGTGAACACAGGGTGACCTGAGGCAGAGGCTGCGTGGGAGCCTCCCGGGGGACCTCCGAAAGGGCGGGAGGCAGAGCTGCGTGCCCTCCAGCTTCTCCTCCCCGGGCTCCAAAGGCAGCCCCTCCGGTCTGGCTCACGGGACCGGCCAACCCCGTTTTGCAGGCGAGGAAAGGAACCCAGAGACCATTACCTGCCAAAGCTCACTCAGCAGAACCAGGGCTAGGACCCCAGTGAGGAGCCCTTCTCCTCCCCAAAAGCTGGTGAGGCTTTGCTGACGGGACCAAGGTTCCTGCCAGACTTACCCGAAGGCAGAGCTGTTGGTTAACCCAAGCACAGCGTGGCTTCCTAACCTTAGTCAGCATCACCATTTCCTGTTCTCATTTTGTCGCTGAGATACCAGGCATCGAGTCTCCTGGTTGGTGACAAACCCACCGCGGCCACCCAAAGCACATGACCACGAAGCGTCAGCTCTAAAGCGCTAGCAGCCACAACACCGTGTGGGTGAGCTGCAGCCCAGTATCATCTGGGCATCTGGAGGGGTTTTCCTTGGAGAAGACGAGGGGGCCTCGAGGTGCCAGCTCAGCGGGCACAAGCAGACATGCCAGCACAGCCCTACACACCACAACGCAGGCAGCCTCACAGAAGCGCTGGCAGTTTCCTTCCCGGGACACTTCCTGATTCCCGTGACTGAAGCGCACAGATCCGTCAGCACGCTGAACACCTCCTCTCTTTGTTCCTCCCGGGAAAGGGGAAGGTGCGGGCCGGGCTGAGGGGCTCACTTTCTCATGCAGCTGCCGCCGAGCTCGCCCTCCGAGCCCTGCTCGGTCCTGCTCAGCTGACCGCCGCCTGGCTGGGCGGCGAGGCAATGCCAGTGAAGAGGGGCCAGGGGAGGGCGGCACTCAGCGACTTAGTGCTAACGGGACGGAACAGGCCCCGGGGACCGCCGGGCCGTGCGGGTTGGGGAGAACGCGCAGGCTGCCGGGAAGAATTCTGGGGGTTCCAGAAGGAAAAGGCTCAGAGCCGGAGAAGCGACATGAGCAAGGGCTCTCTTGGGTTGTTGGTCAGGTTGGCTCTATCCATGAGGCCACACCGTGGTAAGTGCAGTCACTCTTTAGTAAGAGAACACTGGACGCAGAGGTCCCCTTAAGCCTAAAATCTCCTGCTCAGAGTCCCAGGATGATTGAATGGATCCCCTCCCATGCAACAGAAACCCTGGGTGACAGCCGCCTCTCAATTCGGGGAGGAAGAGAGATCAATATGAGTTGGCAAGAGTAAGACTCATGCTGCTGTCCTAACTCCCGGATTTCAGAAAGTGACTGCCTTTGGACAACGGGCCCTCACCCAATCTGAGTGGTGTCCTTGTACGAGGGGGAGGTAGGACACACCAAGGTGACGTGCAGACACCACGCAAGGAGGCACGGTCAAGGTCTGCAAGCCAAGGAGGAAGGTCCCAGAAGAAACCAAACTGCCACCTCCGTGACCTGGGCTCCCAGGCTACAGAACAGCGGGAGAGCTGGCCTCTGGCGTGTCAGCACCGGGTCTGTGGTGTTCTGTTATGGCAGCCGGAGCAGGCTGGTGTGGCTGCCCACGCCAAGAAAGGCCTTAATGCTGACATCCGGGACCACTGCCTTTGGGACGGCTCTGACGAAGCTCACAGTGACGTGGACTCCCGGAGGGGCCCTGCTCCCCAGCCCTGTGCTGAGGCACCTTCCCTTAAGCAAGGGCAGCGGTCCTCCCTCCCGCATTTCCTGTCCTTTGGTAAGCAGGCGCAAGGCCAGGCAGTGAACGAGCGCTCGGGAAATGGCGGTGACCTCTACTCACTGTTCGCTCACGCTGGGGTCCAGGGAGTCGGCTTCGGTGGGCGTTTCAGGCAGGGAGGAGCCGGACTCCTGTATCTGGCACAGCTCCTCGTCCGTGATGATGTCGAACACAGTGTCGTCTGGTGACCTCAAGTCTGGGTTTGCGCCTGGACCGCAGAGGCAGATCCGGAGAGAGGAGAAACACACTCGGTCATGGGGGCCTCAAGGACGTGAGGGGTGCAGGCACGCAGGACACGCCTCTGGGACACATAGAGAGGAACCACCCAACGACAGCGCCTCTGCCCAGATGTGCGGGGGATGGCTGACGGGAGACGTGGCTACTGGGAAGAGCCAGAAAAGCAGAGTGGGGACTACAGAGGAAACTGGATGCACAACCTAGACTTCTCTCCAGCCCTTCAGTCAGTCACGCTCTTACATGGCCTCTGCAGCCCCCGGTCTAGAAGGGAAAACATGTATCGAAACCTTATCAGGCCCTTATCAGGAAAGACCCAGACGGAAAAGTAAAGGCGCTTCTGAGCGGCCGAGTCCTCGCTCTGAGACACGGCCACCCACCCCCTTTGAGTTCTGTCTGGCCTGCGTTTTCATCCCCATCCAGACCTCCCTCTGCTCAAGGACTTGTAGCGGCCACTGTGGCCCTGACCAGGGCACTGGTGTCGGGCTCTGCGGGCCACTCGGCAGGAAGGATGCCCAGTGCGTGCGCCTGTGCCCGTCCCCACCCACAAGCACCCCCTCGCGTGTGTCATGGAAAATGTG